TACATCCCACGGCCATCCCTACAAAGTCAGAAGTGGGATACAGGAATACAGGATTCACGGATACAGGGATACAGGAATACTGAGTGAGCGATACTGATTCTGGGATTTGACGGAGTTGTCAACTTTATTTCGAGAACGACCGGCGTATTAAGATGACTACGTTGACGGTCGCGGATCTGAAAGAGAAGCTGAAGGAACGAGGTCTGCCGACAACCGGACCGAAGAGCGAACTGATGAAGCGATTACGCGAGGCAGGAGTCGACGCTGAGGAACTGGGTCTGACCGACGAGGTGCTGGACGACGAGTCGCAGAGGGAAGTAGGTGCCCAGAGCGTCGTTATGGCGGTACAAGAGAACGATCTCCTACGGAGGGAGAGGGACTTAGCCGCGCGAGAGGTCGAGCTCTTGAGGAGAGAACTCGAGCTGGTAAGGACAACGCAACCGCCAGGAGGGAACGTGCCTGTCCGAGCCTGTGTACGAAAATGGCAGGATCTGAAGGATCTGATTGGCGAGTACGACGGTGGCAATTTAGATTTCGACCGATGGGAAAAGCAGGTGGAGAAATTACTTTCTTCATACGACCTGAGCGAGCATCAAGCGAAAGCGCTGATATGTAGCAAGCTGTCCGGCAAGGCGCTTAGATGGTTTCACTCGAGGATCGATTGCGTCGAACTAACAATAAGCTGCGAAGACCTTCTCCAAGGATTAAAACAAATGTACGGACAACGAGTGGATCCACTGAAATTACGACGGAAGCTTGAGGCAAGAATGTGGAACGCAGGCGAATCCTTCGCGGATTACCTCCACGATAAGGTGATCCTCGCGAACAGAGTACCAGTTGCTGAGGCTGAGTTAATTAGCTACGTCATCGAGGGCATTCCAAGCCAGGAACTACGCACGCAAGCGCGGGTGCAATGCTACCAGTCGACGGACGAGATGCTGATGGCGTTCGCGGATGTCCCGTCGCCGAAGGGAGCCCCCCGTAAGCCATCTACACCGACGCAGAAGAAGCCACAGGATGGAGAGCAAAAGCCCGAGAAAGCAAGAACGGTCAAGTGCTACAACTGTAACGAGGCCGATCACGTCGCGGCGAAATGCACGAAGCCCAAGCGAGAACGAGGATCTTGCTATAGGTGCGGCAAATTAGGACATCGGGCAGCTCAGTGCGAGTCTGCCAACGAGGGCGTCAAGGATTCCACCAAGGAAGGTGTTCACTGGGTAACGAGCGAGCAGAGGGAGGACAACGATTTCCGGCGAAAAATCGAACTGCAAGTGAATGCTAAGGACGGTAATGTTAGTATTAATCTCGACGCGTTGATTGATTCAGGTAGTCCTATTTGGTTTGTCAGAAGGCAATATATCCCGCAAGAACTTATGATTGTTAATTCGGAATCTGACCGATTTGTCGGTATAAACGGTAGCGGTTTGAGAGTATTAGGTTGTGTGAATGTGACGCTTATCTATGATTATGAGAAATACGCGATCTTGTTACGAGTCGTCCCCAACGATACGATGCAAAGCTCAGTTATATTAGGTCGCGATTTTATGAAGGAGGCAAGACTGTCGATAGGTAACGATCGAGAAGTGAACGAAATTATGAGTATCGATGTTGACCAAGATTGTCTAGGAGTATCGGCGCGTGATATGCAAGTAAACGATAATCTTCCGCTTGAGGTGAAGCAGCGAGCACGCGAATTATTAGAAAAACGGTATCTCGACGCACCGAGGCCGTCGGAACCGGCGACCGAAAATATTATGTCCCTTACCCTTACGAGTAACGAACCATTTTACTGCAAGCCGCGTAAGCTCTCATTTTACGAAAAAGGCAAATTACGGGAAATTTTAGATGAATTGATTGCGAAAGGCATTATCAGGGAAAGCACATCCGAGTATGCTTCGCCCATCGTGTTGACAAAGAAAAAGAATGGTGAAACGAGAATGTGTGTAGATTTTCGGGCACTCAATAAAATTACTACTCGCGATCACTTTCCGCTTCCGCTAATCGAAGATCAGTTGGATCTGTTGGAGGGTAAAAGGTACTTTATTACACTCGATCTCAAAGACGGGTTTTTTCACATAAAGATGCACGAGGAGTCGATTAAATATACCTCTTTTGTTACTCCTCTTGGGCAGTACGAGTACGTGAGAATGCCATTCGGTCTTAAGGGCGCTCCCCTTAAGTTTCAGCGATGTGTTACTCAAGTTTTTAAGGATCCGACTAATGCCGGGGATATTTCCGTTTATCTAGACGATTTCCTCATTGCGACTGAGACTATCGAGCATCATTTTCAGATATTGCGAAAAGTTTTTGAGTTACTTGTAGCGAACCGATTAGAGCTACGACTCGATAAGTGCCGATTTTTGCAGACGAAACTAGATTATCTAGGTTACACTATTACTAGCCAGGGCATTCGCCCGACTGACCAGGGTCTTGTGGCGGTCAAGAACTTCCCGATTCCGCGAAACCTCCGGGACGTGCAG